AAGAGAAATATTAAGCAATGCATAGCTTGTGAGGTGTTATGATCATACCTCGCAAAAATATTAGGATTGCCTGTTCATAAAGAAAATTTTTTTTTATTTAACAACTAAAATGAATAAAAGCATTTATATTAATGCCAGATTGAAATAGAAGAAATCTTTCTAATAGCCACATTCAAAGTAAATATATTGTATATTTGTTGTTTCATTACCTACCTCTGGTTACATAAAAAAAACAAACCACTAATAAAGTCCAGGGATTGAGAACGTCAGAACTGATTGTGTTTCTTACTTTATGTGAAACAATGTTTTAAAAATGAATAGAAAGTAATTTCCTAAATTCTAATAAAAATGTTACTGGTTTACTAATCTAGAACTGTATTCTGTAGATAGACTCATTAAACATTTTACATATACCTTTAATTGCTTCTGAGTGAATGGAAGATCTGATTTATATGTAAATCCTACTGAAGTTATTTCCAGTTTTGCCTTAAAAGGGGAAGTGAATCAGGCTGGGTTAAAAAATTATAATCAGATTGTCACTTCGATAAACAAGCTGTTATAGCGACAATTTACAGCATAAATACCTTGATCATGTTTACTCTTTAATTGCTTTTATTGTGCAATTAAACAGACATTTTATTGGGTTTCTGAAGAAATCTCTGGTCGTATTTGCATTTTTTGTAATAGTATTATTATTACTTTATAGAGCACTGTGTTTCACTCTGACAAAGTTACATAAAAGTTGATGTTTATCCGACATTACATAAAAGTTTAAGTTAACATTCACATAACAGAGCTACACTCTGATACAGAAGGATACACCGCTTGTGAGTTTACCTAGATGAGATCATTATTTCCAGGCCCGGCCTGGCTGTCGAGGGTCAAGGCTGACCGAGAAGATCAAGGGATATTCAGTCGGCCCCTGCACCTACCCAATGCCGTCCCAAAGAGAGGGCCCTGCAGCTGGTTGGGAGATGAAAGATTTCTCTTAGCAGCAAGCCCAGTGCAATGCCGGCGGCCAGGGAACATGAATCGCCAGTGAATCAGAGCAATGTTGCGAGTTACCATGCCAACACCCCAATACCCTCATTAGCATAAATAAATGAGCAATAGAAGAGGTCTGGGCTTGCACTCGGTTAGGGCTGCAAACCACATTCTGCTCCCACCAGACCACCAAGGCCATCAGGCATCTGTATTCTTCACTCCATGGCTAAATGTAAGTAATAGCAATAGGGTAACTTTTTTTTTTTTTTTTTTAAATCCACCCTAAGCGCACACACACTACACTATCTATTCCCAAAGCACAGATAAACTCATAATACTGTCCTGATCTTCCTTGAACACACACTAAAGTCTCTCTCACCCCCTAACTACACACACTCACTACAGGGAGTGCAGAATTATTAGGCAAATGAGTATTTTGACCACATCACCCTCTTTATGCATGTTGTCTTACTCCAAGCTGTATAGGCTCGAAAGCCTACTACCAATTAAGCATATTAGGTGATGTGCATCTCTGTAATGAGAAGGGGTGTGGTCTAATGACATCAACACCCTATATCAGGTGTGCATAATTATTAGGCAACTTCCTTTCCTTTGGCAAAATGGGTCAAAAGAAGGACTTGACAGGCTCAGAAAAGTCAAAAATAGTGAGATATCTTGCAGAGGGATGCAGCACTCTTAAAATTGCAAAGCTTCTGAAGCGTGATCATCGAACAATCAAGCGTTTCATTCAAAATAGTCAACAGGGTCGCAAGAAGCGTGTGGAAAAACCAAGGCGCAAAATAACTGCCCATGAACTGAGAAAAGTCAAGCGTGCAGCTGCCACGATGCCACTTGCCACCAGTTTGGCCATATTTCAGAGCTGCAACATCACTGGAGTGCCCAAAAGCACAAGGTGTGCAATACTCAGAGACATGGCCAAGGTAAGAAAGGCTGAAAGACGACCACCACTGAACAAGACACACAAGCTGAAACGTCAAGACTGGGCCAAGAAATATCTCAAGACTGATTTTTCTAAGGTTTTATGGACTGATGAAATGAGAGTGAGTCTTGATGGGCCAGATGGATGGGCCCGTGGCTGGATTGGTAAAGGGCAGAGAGCTCCAGTCCGACTCAGACGCCAGCAAGGTGGAGGTGGAGTACTGGTTTGGGCTGGTATCATCAAAGATGAGCTTGTGGGGCCTTTTCGGGTTGAGGATGGAGTCAAGCTCAACTCCCAGTCCTACTGCCAGTTCCTGGAAGACACCTTCTTCAAGTAGTGGTACAGGAAGAAGTCTGCATCCTTCAAGAAAAACATGATTTTCATGCAGGACAATGCTGCATCACATGCGTCCAAGTACTCCACAGCGTGGCTGGCAAGAAAGGGTATAAAAGAAGAAAATCTAATGACATGGCCTCCTTGTTCACCTGATCTGAACCCCATTGAGAACCTGTGGTCCATCATCAAATGTGAGATTTACAAGGAGGGAAAACAGTACACCTCTCTGAACAGTGTCTGGGAGGCTGTGGTTGCTGCTGCACGCAATGTTGATGGTGAACAGATCAAAACACTGACAGAATCCATGGATGGCAGGCTTTTGAGTGTCCTTGCAAAGAAAGGTGGCTATATTGGTCACTGATTTGTTTTTGTTTTGTTTTTGAATTTCAGAAATGTATATTTGTGAATGTTGAGATGTTATATTGGTTTCACTGGTAATAATAAATAATTGAAATGGGTATATATTTGTTTTTTGTTAAGTTGCCTAATAATTATGCACAGTAATAGTCACCTGCACACACAGATATCCCCCTAACATAGCTATAACTAAAACAAACTAAAAACTACTTCCAAAAATATTCAGCTTTGATATTAATGTGTTTTTTGGGTTCATTGAGAACATGGTTGTTGTTCAATAATAAAATTAATCCTCAAAAATACAACTAGCCTAATAATTCTGCACTCCCTGTATAGTCCTATTTCTTACCTAACGTCTGCCCCTTTCCCCCTAAACACACACTACAACCCCAATCTCCCCCAAAGCAGACACTCAACACTGCATCTATTACCCAACATTCACTACAGCACGTATCACTGAGCATATATCATTAAGTACGCTTGCACCGTGCTGAAGGAATACATGACCTTTTCCTCAAAGCGATAGTTTTTTGTATTATTAGGCCCTACTGCTGCCAATGAGTGGGGTTTGGGTGGATAAAGAGTCTACCCACTCTTATTTTTTTAGGCACCCCCTGCTGCCAATGGGTGGGGCCTCAGGGGGACAATAGGTCCACACCCTTTATTATTTAGGGCCCCAACATGCTGCCAATGCATTGGGGTTGGGGGGGGGGGACAATAGATCTACCCCCCTTATTATTTAGGGCACTCCCCTGCCACCAATGGGTGGGTGGTGGGGGGACACTTTGTCCACGTGTTCAATTTGTTTTTACTAGCCCTCACCTCTGGGGGCTGGAGGGGAACACGAGATCCACCTGCTGCTCGCTGTTCAGTAGACACAATGGGTAGGGGCATGGGGGAGGATTTAACTTCCCTTATTTACTAATATTAAGTATTTTTCTTTACTAAGTATTAGTAAGTTATCTAAAAGACCAACATTTAGAAAAAAGGACTTTTTGTAATTTTGGCCTTTCAGCTTTTTAGTAGATAGCTCCCTTTATGTGGGATTGCCATATGGATACCAAGAAGGTGCTATCTGCTAAACAGCTCCCTAATTGGCTAGCCTTAAATATGGCAATCCCACAAGGGTACCAATTTAAGGAGTTATCTGCTAAATGCCTGGAAAAGGCAGCTGTGGAATGTATTGCAAAATTTAATTTGTCTACATGAAAATCCGAAACAAAAATAGTAGTCAAATTTGGTTAGAAAGCAAATGAACATACAGACAAAAATATTTTTTTAATTTTTCCCGTCTAAATGTATTTGGACGAAACGAAAATTTCGGCGGTGCCCACGTTTAACCTATAGTCAAAATAAATAGTGATATGCTACTCCATTTTTGGCCACTATGTGTCAGTATATGTACAGTCATAAAACAAAGGTCTTAAATTCCAACTGATATTAAGTTCCTTCTCTGCTTTAATTTGCAACAGATTTTTTTAATAATCAGCATTTGTTTAAGCATACTAAAGTCATGTTCAGCCTCATCACTCTACCTGATCACGGGCCAAAGGGAGAAAAACTTCACAGCCCTCATCCTCATAAAAGTCACATTTCAGGTGGACTGATTACCAGTGGAAATATCAGACTTTATTGGGGTAGAGCTCTGGGCACATGACTTGTCTGCTGTACTGGCCCAAGTTGTTGTCTGAGTCTCTGTGGGTAATTGCCTTATGAGGCTCCAGGTAACAATGGTAGCAGTAGTGCTTGTGCACTTAGTGTGTGCCCTGCCAGCAGAGAACTGCACAATTTGGGACCCTTGTGAGAACAGACGAGCGGTATTATACTTCAAAATGCCCTTTGGTGCCCATTGGTACAATGTAATTGGTGGGCAAGCCTTCATCATATCAGGAGCTATTTGTGAAGGACATCAGCCCCAGATGAAGGTTCATTATTGATGCAGAAACACATGTCGTTGGGAGTGTTTGTGCTTAACTCTTTTTTTGGGGGAGGTTTAATTTGTAAATGTGCTATTTGATTTTCTTTGTCATTTTATTATGACTGTGAGCTGAGTATGTCGGAGCTCTGGTCTAGGTACCCATGGAGCTCCGAGGATTCTTAGGGCCTTTAGTAGTGCAGTGCTTATGGTGTAGCATTGATGATTCAAAGGCAGACAGACTTAGTAACTATATTCTGTATAGACGAAAGGTGAGGACTCGGGCACCCAGCTCCTGAGCTATTCTGAACAGTCAGAGCCGGCAGACTGCAGGGATAGAATTGCACAAGATGTATCTTTCAATAGATACTTCTGTATAAACTCATAGACTAGTTCAGTCTAATATACTTGGTTCCTATCTGTGACTCCCAAGTGCAGGATTAGACTGCTGTAGGGTCAGTGTATGATACATACACCCTGTCTTTAATATTATTTGACAATAGAGGATATGTCCCTTGATAGGATTCAATAATAGCGATATAATTGTGACTACAGGGGCTTATTATTATGATATTTATAGAGCGCCAACAAAATTCCGCAGCGCTTTACAATGGGTGGACGAACAGACATGTAGTTGTAACAAGACGAGTTGGACACACAGGAATAGAAGGGTTGAGGGCCCTGCTCAATGAGCTTACATGCTACAGGGAGTGGGGTAAAGTGACACTAAAGGTAAGGAT